TAACAAAATTTGATTTAAATTCAAACCCATCGCCACTTCTGGGCAACTTAGGGACAGCAATTGATCTTTTGATCTTGAATCTCCTTGTTTTAAATTGAAAGAGCCTCTCTAACAGGAACGATGTTCCTATGAAATACTTAATATGCAGAGAACACAATCGGAGCTAAACTAATCCTCTGTTTTGCCTGATGCATTTGAAGAAGCAAGATACACAGACACAGGTCTGAGAAAATAAGCATATATTTCTTTTCAGAATTTAAAGTAACAGATTTGTTGTTTTGTTTTACAAGTTTAGCTCATTTGAAAGCAATGTCCTTCCTCAGCAGAATGAGGCTAAACAATCCATCAGAAAGCAAGGTGATCTCTAAGCCTCTTTACTGCTCTTTTATTTTTATTTTCCTTTTATTATTTGAGCAGGGTTTTAGTTAGAGACTGATTATTAAATCAGGAGATGACACTGCTTGGTTCTAATCTTCTCTGCTTCTACTGTGAACTCAATTCATATCAAGAAGCTAATTAAAAGGAATCACACCGTAAGAAAAAATGAATCACTGATGCAGAGCTCAACCATCAGAAAGTAGTGGCCACTTAGCATAAGTGACCCGATAGTGAGCAAGGCTCGGAAGAGACCTTCAGTAGACAGTGCTGCTGAACCAGGCACGGTAGGCACACAAGGGGACGCATGCCCTGACGGGCTCTCAGCTGGAGGGCTCTCTTCTTGGCACCTTCTCTGTGAAGTCATGGCCATTACGTCAACCAAAGGACCTCTAAAGGTGAGCACCTGGAGGACCTCTTGAGCCCTTTTCAATTTTCCTTTTTTGCTCTGCTCTTAGAGTTTCCATCTGCTTTTCCTGGCTTCAGTGTAGACTTCTACAGGGCACTCACTAATCTTGCCTCCAGTCCTGTATCCCCACATCCACATTTTAATCCTCCATTTCCAAAACTTTTTGGACATCTATAGTCATCCCAAATTCAACATGTTCAAAACCAAACTTACTGTCATAAGTTGATTTACATTCTTTCACTTATTTGTCCACTTATTGGCACTGGGCACAAAAGAGGATAAGGCACTCCTTGACCTTAAGGAGTTCAGAGTCTGATCTGAAATTGGAGAGTCTGAATGCATGAGCTGAATAGATGGATCAAAGTGAGCTAGCTGCAATCCCCTTAGTTTGTGGACAAGGCAACTGAAGCCAAGGGAGATCAAATGGCTGAAGGTCACTTTGCTATTGGCAAAGCTAGGACTTCAGGACTCCTGACTTGCTAGTTTCCATCACAAATGTCATATCAATAATTTTCCCTATCTCTCCAATTCAGCTTTCAGAAGACACCTGATTTCTCACAGTGTCTCTCCATCAATGGCCAGTCAACCAAAAAGCACTTCAGTGTCTTCCTTTTGAACACCTCTCAAATACATCCTCCATATCCTTTCCTTTCTAACCACCACTGGGCAGTTCCAGGTCAGCGTCACCCTCATGATGATCCTGTTTTGCCTGCAGAGATGTGCCGTCTCCCCTGCTAGACGTGCCCACTCATCTCACCCTCTGCCCACCCTCCTCCAGTTCAAGCCACACGTGGCTCCCAGGGCAGTCTGTCTAAGCCCCCTGAACACATCATGCTCCTGCTCCAAACCCTGCAGTCAATCTCAGACACCAAAAGCACCATTTACCAAACTGGGATCCACAGAACACTGACTCTGGGGGGTGCTCTGTGGAGAGGGTTCTGGAGTCACAGGGAAGTGCTCCTTGCACTCTAGCATTTGGAGACTCACCTTCTCTTGAACCAGTATTGCCCCAAACTTCTCTTTTGCAAGGGACACATATTACCCCCTCTCAGATCCAGTGTTTCTGGAAAAGCATGGTGGGTGACAGCAGCCTGCAGGCTAAAGCACAGCAGGTTGGTCAGGTAGCCCAGGTTTCCTCTAGTCTCCTTCCCAACCAGAAACAGTCTATTCATCATTATTTAACGTGCCATGAACCCAATAGCTTCTTTTTTCTTTGTTTTTGTAATTTCCCCAGTTGGAAGCATTCTCTTTCTCCTTTTCCACTTAATTAAATCTTAACCTTCCTTTGGATATTCAATTCAGATCTCATCTCTCCTATAAATCTTTTCCCAACTGTCTCATCTGTGACTACTGGAGCATTTATTTACCTGTACGAGAGAACCAAAATCTCAACAGTAAAAAACACCCACGGTTCATATTTGTGCTGAGAAGCTAGTCAAATGGCAGAATTTTCCCATCATATACCTACAAAAGTAATTTATAAGGTAAGACTATATTACACTCACAAACAAGAACTGTGTTTATAGAAAACTATCAGAAAGTATGGTTTTTAAGTAGAAAAAAGTAGATTTAACATCAACAAATAATTCACTGTAACTGAATCTAAGTTACATTGTTTTGACTAGAATAACTTTAGAAAGTTTCATGCCTTCATTTTCATCTTGCAAAAATTGTCAAGAACCAGCTAATGAATAATATTATGAGGAGAAAACCTGAACAGTGTATGGAAAAGGCAAAATCATGATAGATTTCATAAAGACCATTTATTTTATAAGTGAATATTACCCCCTTCCTACTTCTGGCATTTTTTTTTCTACATAATACAAATAAAATTAGTCTCATTTATTTAAAAAGTACCATTTCTGTACCATTTCTATGTATTACTAAAATGTTTTTCTTCCTAATGGTGAAAAGATGCTATGTGAGAAGAATGCTTAGTTCAGTTTCTGTCTGGAATTCAAAAACAATCACATTAAAGGCCATATGTTAACACACATATATCTCCATCATGAAGCTTTGGGTTATGGAAGGAAGCATGAGGAGAAGAAAATCCGGGGTAATTCCAGTCTTTCTCCTGCTAAGTTAGAAATGAGCAGGACTCACCTGTGTGTCTCCCACTCATCTCCTCCTGGCCACCATGTCTGTGATCCAGCCTCCTCCCCACTAGGAGGAGCCATCATCAGCCTGGATCTCCAGCACCTGCTGGGAAGGGACAGTGTGGACCACAGCAGTGCATCTAAGACGGCCACAACTGACCACTCCGCTCCCTGCCTCTACCCAGCTCATCCACTTGCTTGCTTACACCAATAAGTCCTTCCAGCTCTTCAGTATCTCTGGGCTTGACCTCTTTTCAATTTTGGTCCTCATCTTGATTGAACCTCTTGCTGGTCTAACCCATTGTATCTGGAGATCCCTTTGCTCACTTGAGCCCTGGATAGTCTTCTGCCATGACACAAGATTCAGTCTCAACCTACAACTCCAGCCTTATTTTCCTACATGAGCCTTTACTTTGAGCAAACTACTCTATTCATGGAGGCTTGGATGAACCATTCCATGCACACCCACAGTTTCATTCTCCAAAAGTCCTGTCTTGCAAGACATAGCCTGAGATGCTGCTCTCAAGAAGCCTTCTCTAACTCTGTAGCCTGTGAAAATCACCCCAGGCTCTGACCGAGTCAACTTACTGTCTTCTCCAGTGATACACACAGCACCTTCACTATATAGTCCCAGAGGATGATGTCTCCAAGAGGAGAGCTCCTTCTTGGAGATAGATAACACACATTAGCATGTAAAAGACTTATCAAAGTCTTATAGCAAAGAAACCTTCCAAACAATATTAAACCTAGTGTTTCTCAAGTTTACTTAGCCATGGAACCTCTTTCCATATTGTATCTTTGAGTCACCATTTGGAAAACAGTCTGCATAAGTCAGTGGCATTTCCCACAAGTGATCTTGTATCCTAAAGTTCCCTGTGTCCATGTCCTTTCTCCAGCTGGTTTACATGGCCACAACTCAGCAGCTCTAACTAGCTGTGGGCTTTCCCAACTCCTATCGCTGTTTTTCTCCTCCCATCACTCTATACTGAGCATGAGAGAGAGCACAGAAAGGACGTAGCTTGGTGCCAGGCAAGTGGAATCAGATAGACCCCATTCTAATTCTAATCCCTCACTAGACAGACTGTGAGCTCAAGGACCATGTTGGTTTTGTTCCTCAATGCCTGGGACACACAGTGTCTGGTACAGACCAGGCAGTCAATCAGCATTCATCGAGTAAAGTAAGGACAAAGCAGTTTTCAACCAAGGTGATTTTGCCCACCAGGAGATATCTGACAGTTTATGGAGACAGTTTTGGCTGTCATACTAGCAACTGGTGGGTAAAAGTAGGGATGCTATTTAACATCCTACAACATACAGGACAAGAAACTATCAGGCCTCAAATGTCAATAATGCTGGGGTTGAGAAATCATGCTCTTTACTCAGGCTAATAAGGATTAAATTTCTAACTAATAACACTAGCTGTTGGTCTTGAATAGGTTACGAAATTTTTCTTAATTTTCTCTTCTGTAGAATGGGGTTCTAATTATTATTATTATTTTTTTGAGATAGAGTCTTGCTTTGTTGCCCAGGCTACAGTGAGTGCTGTGCGTCAGCCTAGCACACAGCAACCTCAAACTCTAGGGCTCAAGCAATCCTTCTGCCTCAGCCTCCCAAGTAGCTGGGACTACAGGCATGTGCCACCATGCCTGGCTAATTTTTTTCTATATATATTAGTTGGCCAATTAATTTCTTTCTATTTATAGTAGAGACAGGGTCTCGCTCTTGCTCAGGCTGGTTTTGAACTCCTGACCTTGAGCAATCCTCCCACCTCGGCTTCCCAGAGTGGTAGGATTACAGGTGTGAGCCACTGCACCCAGCCTCTAATTATATCTTTAAGGTTGTTGTAAGATAATATATATACAAATGAGATAAACTGGATACCTATGAAGCGTTTAATGCAGTGTCTGGTACACAGAAATCGTGACCTATAAACATGACCCTTGAGCATTCTTACCATCGACCTTTATCTAATGTCTCAAAATGACAATAAGGCTCTTGAGATGGACCATTTACTCTCTTGGAACACACCACCTTCAATCCAGAGTGAGTACTCACATCAAAATAGGCCTGCCACTCTCCCTTATGTTGACCGTATGGTCATATTTTATTAATGTACTCACCACAGGCTCTATGGTGAAAACGTTATTCAAGAAGAGCAATGCGTCTCCCTGAACCATCCTCCTCTGATTCTCGAAGGTGCGGGAGAGAATGGAAAGACGGTCTCGGAGGACGGGATCAATAATGCACTCGTCGAGAAACTCATTCATCTCACCCTTTTCTTCTTTGATCAGATCATCACAGATCCTAAAGAAAACAAACATAGGAAATACAAGATTCACCTTGGTATTCCCATGAGGAACTTTGTCAAGTGTGCCCCTCCAGTCCATCCTCCTGGAAATGTCTTCGCCCATCACCCTCAGCACGTTCTGGTTCTAAGGAAGCAAGCATTCTGTGCTTGCTTTTTATTGCCAAATAGGAAGCAGTGTGCAAGGAAACTGGCAGTAGTCCTCCCGTACTAGAGGGCAGAGCAGGGCAAATTAAAGACAGTCCACAGAAAGAGAGGGATCCATTTCTTTTGTATTTGATATTTTGTTATTTGATATCTATCTGAAAAACTCATAAATTATATACCCTTAGAAACAAAAAAAAATCCCACTTGTAGGAATAAATTCTAAAAAACAATCATGGATGTAAACAAAGACACAGCTGCAAAAATGTTCATTAAAATGCTGAAACGATTACTAGATAAACTGGGTAAATTTGATGTAAGATAATGAAGCCTTGGTTAAACAAAACTGGGAATCATAAACATTATATTTATTGGAAACTTACCAAACTCTTCACATGCATCATGTAATTTAATACTCATAACTACCATGAGGTCATTATTATTACTATCATCATTCCCATTTTATAGTTGATAAAACTGAGGCTCAGAAAAGCTAAGTAACTTGCCCCAGATCACACAGCTGAAAGATGGAGCCTAGACTTCACACAGAGTCTTTTGCAGTTTGAATATTCTAGTGCTAGCCACTACGCTACACTGCCTTCTAGGATGCATCTATAGCAAGGGAATAGCAAGCAGTTATTAAAACTGTATTTAAAAATATTTAAAAGGATTTTCAAATATCTGAAATATTTTTAAGTCAAAAGGAAGGTTACAAAATGTAATGTACAGAGTAATCCCAAATTTGTAACAAAAAAAAGTAAAAGAAAAGAAAAAACATACTTGTTGGGAAAAAGAAGAGATTTAGAGACATCAAAATATTAATAGTGGTTTTCTCCAAGTTGGAAGGATGAGAATTGATTTTTAGGTTCATTTTTGTGTTTGTCTTTATTCTCTAAATTTTATTAGTTCACAATGTATTTCTTTTTAAAATAGAGAACAAGTCATTTTTAAAATTAAATATCAATCAAGTCTCAGACTAAAGCACTACAGGTTTTTCCATGGTTTCCCAACATGCAAACATTGGCATGAGCCCACCGAAGCCCTCACTGGGAAAGTGCACAGGTGAAATATGCGAGGTGTGGTCTGCAGCAGGTAGAAGCAATGGATTATACATACATAGCGACACGCATGGATCTTAAACAGAGAGCCTAGTGAAAATAGGAGAAAACTACACACAAAATACGATCACTGTCTCATGTACGCTCTCTCCCCCAACAAAGCAATATACATTTTATGAGAACAGATTCACAGAAAAAGACACACATTAACATTTTAGAATGGTGTCTTTGGAAGAGTTGAAATGTGGGGATGTAAAAGAATAAGTAAAATGCCTTGTGTGGACCAAGGATGATAAGTGAAGTGAAGCATTCACTCAACCCTCGCACAGGAAAACAGAAGAGAACAAAGATTCCCTTGTGCTCCTCTTTTCCACTGCTGCTGAGACTCTGAATCAGTGACAACCAGCATAAGAAAAAGGGGAGGAAGGGGCATCAGATGTCTTTCTCTTTGTCTTCTGATGGAGAACTGGAGCCACGGCCGAGAGTCTAAGGAGGAGATGTATAACAACACCTTTAGCTGGCTTCCATATATCTCTATTGTTTTGTTATCCTGTCTTGATTTCTTGCACTCAGAGGTGGTTCTGTCTTACAGATGAGGAGACCTCTCAACAGAGTGCATAACAACAGACCAGTCTTCTCTTTCAGTAAAACCATGGACTTAATCCATTTCACAAATAGTCTGGTAGCTGCCAACACCATCCAGGCACCAAGCACAGGCCAGCCTATGGACTATAGTCAGTGGGGAAGATTATGTCTCAGGTACAGTAGGGTTGTACCAGTAATGTTCCCTCATCTTGAGGTGCTCAAGACTTGCACCCTGCTCCCTTGAAGCATCCACAAGAGGTGGTAACTGGATGCCGAGGAGATGAAAAACTCAGAGCTGTGGCCTTCAGAGCTGGGAGGAATATCCCCACGTGCACACTTGGCATGGAATGAATGGAGACATCCACCTTCAGAAGGACCACATGGTCCTGAACACGGAGAAACTCTGTGATGACTGTTACAAACTGAAGATTAGAGGTCCTCTGCATCTCTACCAGTTACCCCTTAAGTCTTCAGATTCTTGTATGACCTAGGGAAGGGACGAGGACTCCAAACATAGCTGAGATTAAATTTATTATGACCCAGGTGGCAAGCTCAAAGCCCAATTACAACTGGTTTGTCTAGAGAAATGTGTCATTGCCTTCACCTAAATATTGTGGAGGAAATCTATGCTAACCACTTTGGGGGGCTCCAGTGATAATTCTAGTTCTTGTGCAGAGAAAATCTAGAATTAGAGCCAGCTCTATTAAGACAATGGCCGAGACCTTGCAGGAGAAACATGGGAACAGAAATCCTTAAAGCCCATGCTGAGTCTCTGAATACAGTAAATGTCATAAGTGATGAGAATGAGTATGAAAGAATCTTACAGGATTGTTTAAAAATCCCTCAGGACGAGGCTGAGGAAGCAGGCAGGGATGAATGTGGCCTCTATTTCCGAAGAGATTAATTTCTCTGCAAGTCCCAGAAAAACATCAAGAAAGACAAAGAATGAAAAGGTAATTTTTTAAAAGTCCCTATATCTGATTCCAAAGTTAAAAAAAAAAATTTAAAAAGTTTTAAGCCCAGAACTTTTCCTAGGGGGAGAGACATCTTCATTGTCAAAGTCTGGAGCATGGGAAGGCCTTATGTCCCCAAACCTAGACATATGTCCTAAGGTTTGAGGTAGGTGGAGAGAAAGGCCATCCTTCCTAAAATGAAAATGACAAGCTACCAGAAAGGAAGAGGGATCCCTAGGGCTTAAATTCCTCCATTGCAAGATATCCAAGTCTTTGCTCAGCTAGACTCTAGAGGTCAAGAAACTGTGATGGCTAGAACAGGACTTAAGCATATCCATCCTCAAAGTGTCCTTTGAGCAATTTTCAGCCCCTAGAGATGACTTCCTCAGGACAAGCTGTAAGTCATGTTTAACTGCCAGGAGAACTACGGGCACACTCTTGAGTCTCACCTAAAGTTCACACTGAAGTTAAATCTTAGGTCCTTGGAGTGCTGATAAGGGAAATTTTGGTCTCTAGAAATACGTATCAGCCCATTTTGGATAGGTTCTCCCTGCTCCAACCTTAGGAACAAAATTGACCATTCTTCCTACTTTTTTTTTTTTTTTTAACTAAAGAGACTGATGAAGGAATGGGAGAAAAGGAAAAAGTTGCTCCCCATCATGAGCAAGAGAGTCAAACATAGAATAATGCCAGAGACACCTGCTCAGGCCTCGCTGGGAGCTCAAGAGAGGAGTCACCCCATTAGCTAAAGATCTCACTGTTACTTTTCTGGGATGAGCAAACCTCTGCCCATAAGCAAGCTGTCAAGGACAATTCTTCTTTATCTGCCGCTGATGTGTGGCCTGGACACAACCTGAGAATTTGGGACGTGGAGCAGGAGGGGCCTATACCCATAGCAACAGCATGGCCTCCTGCAGAGGGGCAGCTATTCAAGGACAGAAGCTAAATGTTCAGCCAAGTGCCAACGTCTCTGTACTTGCCATGCTTTTCAAAACGATGAGCACTTCATGGCATTTACTTTAAGAACAAGAATCCATGGCTAACTATGGAATTTGTGGCAGGCTTGCAACTCCATCAAGGAACAAGAGAGGGATGGGTAAGAAGTGCTACCCTGGTCCAGTAAGAGATCAGACATAGCTGGCATCCATTCCCCCCCTTGCCCTGGGTTCCTGGCACTCAGGAGAGGGGAGAGAGGTAAGGCAGGGGCACATATTCAGTAGACTCTTTATTTAGATAAACCAATCCAGTTCAGAGAAACAGGAGTTATATGGCTGTATGTCATCCAAAGTGAAAATGAAAGTATTCTTATTTATCTGAAGTCATTTTTCAAGTTCATTGTTTAAAAGAGGGAAGTGATCCTACATGATAATATTAGGCTGCCAATCATGGTTATGAAAATGCTATCCTATGTTGTGCCCTTGTTACAAAAAAAAAAAAAAAATTGCCAGAAAAATAATAGAAAGATCAAGGGAGATAGTAAAAGAAAGACAATGCAAGAGACTAGGAAGGGTTTTAAAAGACAATATTAAAGAGATAGGGGTATGAGTATCAGGACGGGTGATGTGGAAAAAAAAGAAAAGAAATGTCCATCCCCTGTGGCTGAAATTATATTCTCTACAGCATCTCAGATAACAATTGGTTTTAATTTTTCTAGAGTTGATCTATGTAACTTCCTTACATACTTTTGTATATAGGCACTGCATTCATCACATATTATCCTATCCACATCAAACACACAGACATGGTTGAAATGAAAGCTGGCTCTCCCTCTTTTTATTTATTTATTTATTTATTTATTTATTTATTTATTTATTTATTTATTTATTTTTTATATTTTTCTTACCAACATGAATTGAAGTAGGATGGCTCTCCCTCTTATAACCACGTGTACTAGTTCTCCCCAAGAGGTTGAGTCCATGGGACAAGTATGAGAGTGAAACACTACTTTTACTGCTGTTTCACTTTCTGTATTTGTACCTACCCTCCCACTTTACCTTTAAACATGTTTGGGCCATTCTGATTGCTGGTAAGCACATGGAGCTGGGGAATTGGGACAAAGGAAGGAATGTATGAGCAGTTTCCTCTTGCCCTTTTAAACCACCAGTATTCCTATGCCATGAGACCAAATGAAGTTTTTAGGCAGGAAAGGTTTTTCTTTTCTCACTTTTTAAAGATGGCACAGTGGCGATCCAGTGATTAAAGCTCATTGTCTGAATGACAAAGCTTCTGGCCCACTGTGTCCTGGTGTTGTCATGGCTCCTTCTGATTCAATTAGGGACAGCACACTGGGGGGCTTTCTGCCTGGTTTCCATGGACCTAAGACTTTTATTTTTATCACATACTAACTTGGTTTTAAACAGAGCTTTGAAGCTTCCCAGGGCTAATCTTTAATGAAAATGGAGAGGCAAATAAAAAAGGTTGAAATAAATTCCAATGAAAGCAGCAAAAGTGTTAATTCAGGGAGGTTGGAAGGAGATAAAAATGAAAATAGAGCTTAAAAGAGTCGAGGATGGATTCAGTAAAAAGAAATATTCAAAATTTAACAGTGATGAGATTAGTTAAAACAGTTTGGTTTTACATTGTATTAATTTTTTCTACTGCTAGAAGCAGTGTTTTAAAAAGCAGAATATCAAAGATAGCAATAAGAAATCATTATTAAATTATATGGCTCGTAGGGACTGAGCAATGCTACTAAAACCAAGAATATAAAAGCCATTATATCTAAGCCCTTGTTTTTCCCTCATTCTTCATATTTTCTGGAAATATCTTTTCACTGAAAAAAAATTCCACATTGATGCCAACCCAAAAAAGATTATTTTTAGAAATTCTTCATGAAACCTGACCAACCTAGTTAGGGTTATTAAAAGAAATACAGACATGTAAATTCATTTTGAAAAAATAGTGAAGAATAGTCTATTTGTCTTTTAAAATCTAAGAATTCCATCACTGTTAAGTTATAACCAGGTTAAGAATAACTGAGGATGAACAAAATTCTGTTCCACATAGCTCAGCTCAGATTCTTTAAATGAGCAGCTCCAAAAGAACATCACACACCAGAACCGAGTTATAAAACTCTGACATTATTTAAGTTGGTTAAAAACTTACTACAAGTCACTGCTTTTTTCATAATAACTGGGTTTTACACTCCCTCTCAAATTCCTGCATATGTGATTGTTGTTACAAACCTATCTTTTTCTCTGTCTTCTTCTTCCTGGGTAGCAAATATCTTCCACTGGAAATGGGCAATGATGCTACTGCGGTTGTGAATGGTTACCGTCCGCTGACTGGCCAGAGTTATGTAGGTTTTCTCGATGATCAAGGAATTCTTATCCAGCCTTATATTCATGTCTATGGCAGCTCCATAGAGAGACACAAACACTTTTTCACCTAGGAATTAATGAAGTGCAAACATATTTCAGGATTTATTCTAGAATGATAGTCCTAGGCTATTTTTTTCCCAAGTTGAAGTTAGGCAATGTAGCATAAGCATTAGGCATTTCATTCTTTCCTCCTCATCCCCATCAATCCAGAGATCAGACATATTCAGAAAACTCAAGATATTATGCTTCATGCAGTTATAGAAAATCAAACTATCTTGCTTGGTCATTGTAAGATATACATAGAATATGAATTGTTGTGGTGGGTGCTCTAAGATTTTTTTCTTCTTCACAAATAGCTCTCAATCCTATAGCCTGAAGGGCAACTGAGTTCTAGAATTACAACCATCTAGAATTACATCATCTTTAGTTCATGCACGAGTTGGATCTGTGATTCTTTTTTTTTTCTCAAATCTTTTTTTTTAATTGTTATTTTAGCGTATTATGGAGGTACAAGTGTTAAGGTTACATATATTGCCCATGCCCCCCTCTCCCCTTGAGTAAGAGCTTCAAGCGTGTCCATCCCCCAAATGTTGCAACTCTTACTCGTTGTGGTTGTATATTCCCATCCCCACCTCTCTCCTCCCACCCTCCCGACATCCAATAAATGTTATTCCTATATGTCCACTTAGGTGTTGTAAAATGTGGTATATGTATACCGTAGAATACTACTCAGCTTTAAGAAACAATGGTGACATAGCACCTCTTGTATATTCCTGGATACAGCTGGAACCCATTCTACTAAGTGAAGTACCTCCAGAACGGAAAAACCAGAACCACATGGATCTGTGATTCTTAAAACGCATACCTGGGAAGAGCTGCTCAGCATGAGAGAATTTAGGTCCAATCAAGAGCAGAGATCAGGAAGGAAAATTCAATAACTTCAAAAAATAGAAAACTGACTATTTAAAAGGAACCAAATCCTTAAACAGCAGCAATTAAAACAAAAACAAAACACATACACACATAAATACACATACGTCTGTCATATCTGGGTAGTTGGTTACATACGAAGAAAACAAAAATAGACAAAAATTACATTTACAATTTAAATTTTTAAAATACAAGGAAGATATTTATTTAGTATAGCAATTTAAGCCCTTGGCTTTATTCCAGATGCACCAATTACCTCGATTCTAGGTGTATAAGTGAGGTCCCTGGGCTTTCAAGAAGACACAAACTTACAAACTATATTCTTTTTTATTTCTCCAATGTCACAGCAAGTATATTATTCTGACATCAAAATAGAAAAAGGAAATACTTAAATACTGTGAATGTTTTGTTGACCTGTGCTGCAAAAGTTTTCATCAGAACCCAGAAAGCATAATTACTTGCATTTTATTTTTAGCAAACATTTCTGCTACATTCACTATTGCATGAACCAAACTGCCACTCAGTAAATTGACAACGCTTTATACATTTTAAATGTTCTTTAGGCTCTATCACTTTGAATACAGAAAAACCTTCTCCAAATTTTAAAGAAAATGTAAGCATCTAGGCATTTGACACTAAAAATTAAAATTTTTTATTAAAAAATTTATTCATAGTGTCAAATTTCAAATACAATAAAAGCATATACGCTGAAACTAAAACATCTTTCCCTCCTTCACTTAATCTCAGGCCCACTTTCTAGAGGTAAAAAACTGTCATTATTATTATATTTCCCATAAGAAAGGTATGTACTCTTGTCAACTTTTAAACGTTTTGGTGAGTGTAATTTAACACTCTGATGAGTGAAAACTCATTGTTGCTTTAATTCACATATTTTAAATTATGGATTCTATTGAGCATCTTTCCATATATTAATTGGCTTAAGCCAAAAAGAAAACCATCCCCACAATAAGCTGATACTCAAAGATGATGTTGAATTAGAAGTAGATTAGCCTTAATTCAGAGTTAAATATCAGGCTGGAATTGCCTATGTCTTGCAGAGAATTTCGACCTTGAATTTGGTGGCCATTGACAGGTTATGCCATCAGATACCTGGAATAAAGAACTGATTTCTCTTTGGAGGAAGGTATCTGCATCCAAAATTTCAAATTTTTTTTAACATTTTTTAAAAGGCACATAGCCAAACATATTGAGGCAAGCAGAGAAATAAAACTCAATGTGTTAGAACCAGCAGATACAAAAACAACAGAAATAGACAGACTCACAAAAAAATCAGATACTGGGAATCATCAGATATAGATTATGAACCAATTACACTTAGTATGTTTAAATAAACAAATAAATGGTTAAGACTGAAGCTAAATCCAGAAAACAGGAAATCAAAAAAATCTTAAAAAACTTGAAAAGAGCTATACTCTAGGACTTACAGAAATAAACTAAAATAACCTAAATTTTAAAAAATCTCAAAGAATAGACTTAATAAAAGAATTTTATTAAATTTTTATAAAAAATAGTGAAATGGAAGATAGTTCAGAAAATAAAAAATGCTATATGAAGAAACAAAAATATATGGAAAACACACAAAGAATGGTGTGACAAGGTAGATAAAATGAGAAATTATAATAGTATTTAATTGGAAACTCAGAAGGACAGTAAAGAGATAACAAAGCAAATTATTTCAAGAGATGATAGCTAAGAATTTTTTACAATTAAAGACGTCAGTTCACAATTCAAAAAACCCAATGAAAGTCAAATAGGATAAATTAAAAGAAATTCCTAAATATATTGTAGTGAAATTAAAGAAAACCAACGACAAAGAGAAAATCCTAAGTGCAGTCAGAGAAAAAAAGACAGATTATCTTCAAAGTAGCCCACAGTCAGAATTACACCTGACTTTGCAATTGAAATAATGGAAATTTAAAAACATGGAATGGCATCGTCAGTATGATGGTGAAAACAATGCCAACCAAGAATTCTACAGAAGTTTTTCAGCTTTTTTTCAACTCTGCAAATACGTCTCTTTTGTCTTCTCTTTTTAAGGACTCTTTCAATAGTGAAGAATAGTTTAGCCTTAGTATAGAGTTACCCAAGCACTTTAAAAATGCCATTTTACTGTCTTCTGGCTTCCATAATTTCAGCCGAAAAGTTTGTCATCAGTGTTATCAGTTTTCCAATACAGTAATAATGTGTTTTTTTTCTCTGGATACTTTTATGATCTCATTGCTTTAGATTTCAGCAGTTTAACTATTAATATAATATGCGTAAGTTTGATTTGTTTTGTATTTGTACCACCACGGGCTTGCTGAGTTTTGTGAACCTATGGATTAATGTCATACGTCATTTCTGAAAAATTCTCAGCCAAATATTTTTATCCCATTCTTTCGCTCCTCTACTTCTGAGACTCCAGTTACACATCGTAACTGTGTCCCACATGGCTTTTATTTTCTGCTCTGCTTTTTTCCATTTTATTTCTGTTTCTTTCTATGCTTTAATTTAAATATTAATATTTTCTTCAGGTTCACTAATCCTGTCTTCTGCAATATCCTTTCTGCTGCTAAATCTATACAATTAGTTCTTAATTTCCAACATTGTATTTTTCAGTAAAAAACTGTTATTAAAATATGACAAAGATAAAACAAATAGGCCAATCTATAGGCCAATCGCATTTATGAATATCAATGCCAAAATCCTGAATAAAAAATTAGCAATCATAATCCATCAGCACATTAAAAGAATGATACTTCATAACCAAGTAGAATTTATTTCAGGAATACAATGATGGCTCGCTATTAAAAAATCTATTAATGTAGCAATACATCTAAGGAGAAAAATGATATGATCTCCATTAATGCTGGAAAAAGAACCTGAAAAATTCAAAACATATTTTTTTAAAAGTCTATAAAATAGGAACTGATAGAATTAAAACACAGTATAAAGTCTCAGTGGATAAAAGAGCATGGTACCAGTACATAAAGAGACAGGTCAATGGAATAGAATAAAAAGTCAAAACAGACCCAAATACATATTGGAATTTAGTAATTATAAAGGCATCTTGAATCACTGGTGTAAAGGTCAATTTTGTAACCAAAAAAAATGTTGCTGGTACAACTTCATAGCCGTATGGAAAAGAATACCTCATATCTTACACCAGAATAAATGTCAAGGGAATAAATATTTAAATGTTCAATATGAAGCCATATGTAGAACAATGCAGAGGAGAATTTCTTCATAACTTTAGAGAGGGGAAAGTCTTCTATGATTCAAAATCCAGATTCCCCTAAAAATTAAGAAGCTTGATTACTTAAAAATGAAAAAGAAATTCTGCATGGCACAAAACTCCATCAGCAAAGACAAAAGACAAGACTGGGGAACATATTTATAACTCATACCTGAGACAAATGAATTAAATATATAGTTGACCCTTAAACAACATGGGGGTTAAGAGTGCTGACTCCCTGCATAGTTGAAAATCCATGTGTAAGTTTTGTCTCCCCCCAAAATTAACTGCTAATAACCCACTGTTGATTAGAACTCTACTGATAACATATACAGTTGATTAATACATATTTTGTATACTAAACGTATTATATACTGTATTCTTACAATAAAGTAATCCAGAAAAAATAAAATGTCATTAAGATAATATGGAAGAGAAAATATATTTATTATTCATTAATTAAAAGTGGATCATAATAAAGATCATTAGTCTCATAATCTTCACGTTGATTAGGTGGAATATGTAGAGGAGGAGTTGGTCTTGCTGTCTCATGGGTGGCAGAGGAAGAAGAGGTAGGGGAGGTGGAAGAAGAGGCAGGAGAGACAGGCACACTTGCTGTAACTTTTATTGAAAAAAATCTACATGTAAGGACCTATGCAATTCAAGCCAATGTTGTTCAAGGGTCTATTATAAATAAATAGCTATTAGAAATCAATAACAATCCAATAGAATAATTGGATAGGGTTGCAAAAGAAGAAATATAAAGGACTCCTATATGCATACAAAGATGCTCAACTTCACTCATTATAAATGAAAATAAAGATATACTTACATATCACCTCCCCAACATCAGATTGATAAAACAGTAAATTTTGAGGACATAATTTGTTGTCAAGACTGTG